GCTGCACGGGGGCCTGCAGGGCCTCGGCTGCCAGATCCAGGCCGCGACCCCTCAGAAGGTGTCAGCCCTGTCCGGGAAGGAAAGGAGATTTCCCATCGTGACGGTGGCATTGCCGTTTTGGTTCACCTGTTGACGTGCAGCTCTGGCTGCCCGCCCCCGGCTGAGCACTCCCCGTGTGCCCCGAAGCATGAGCGGCCTCTCCGGAGGGAGCCCCCCGCCTCCCCTCTCAGCACAGCAGCTCTTGGACCCTTCTGCAGAGCCTGCCAGCTGGGCACAGGGCCTCTGGGAGAGAGAAGGAGCACTGGGCACTGGGAGCTGCCCCTGGGACAGCCAGGCTGAGCACGGCCAGAGGTATGGGAGATGGGCTGGCTGTCCTCAACAGACCCAAGGCAGAGAGGGAGGAAAGAACTGCTGTCCGGCCCCAATAAGAACAAGCATCACTGTCTTATGGAGAAGTTTTCTCAGGCCCTTGCTTTGGAACAAGCGGTGGTCTGTTTTCATTACTGCTGTTTTGGTGTTTGTTTGTTTGTTATTTAAGAAACAACATGAGAAAGCTACTTAAAATAGATCGTAGGACTACAAAACAGGGTCTCAAAAGTTAGTAAATACAAGAGTTGATCGATTACACAGTGCCAGGAGGAATAATTAGACCATCCACTCTGAATATTGTACGCCTATACATCTCAAGCAGGCACCAATATATTAAGGTAAAAATAACGTGGCTGACTTGCACCTTTCCATTCTGAAGAGGTGAGACTGAACTTTGCTTGGGAAGAAGGTGTCAGTGCCTGAGATCTGCACAGGGGAGCAGAATGGAGCAACTGAAACATGCAGAGGGAACCTGGAGGTTTTTTGGTCCCAGAGAAACATCATTTCAAGTGTAATTAAATTGCTTTTCAAAGCCCAATGAGCCATATGAATGCCGCATATGTGGGATGCATACAGAAATAAGGAAGAAACTGAATATGATGAAGAGCTGAGTGATACTCTCACAAGAGCTTAGCAGGGACCCAGGAATGACCTAGCTGTGTAGCTCATGCAAAGAGCAGCTACAGAAGTTGAAAAATGCATGGGGTATCAATCCTATGTTTGAACCTACCACAAAATCCTGGGGGCTAGTGAGATGCTTGTCCTGCAGAAAAGGTATTCCGTATGGACCTTATCCTGCCTCAGGCTGGTAACCCTCACCCAGTCCCTCAAAACCCTGAAACACGTCTGTAACACTAAGCATGTGAAGTAGTCCTAGTAAAGGCCAAACTCTGCTGAATGGAATTAGGAGGCTCAGTGCATGACAAGATGGCTTTTTGCAGTCTGCTGCAGGGATTTTTCCATCTTTCTTTGAAGCATGTGGGCACTGTCTGAAGCAAGAGAACAGGTTAGATGGGTTCCTACATTCCTGGCTATAAAATTCATAGTGGCAGAATTGATTCTACATATCATTTCATTTTTTCTGCATTGTAGGTGGCAGCAGGCGTATGCTAGATTGGCTTACTTTCATTGTCATCCTCAGACAGCACAATCTTCTTTTCAGTTCCAGCTATTCTTGCACCCTGTGCAGATACAGATAGCAATTCCTTTGTTAAAAAAGCAGCTCTTCAAATTTTTTGAAAAGAATACAAGTAGTCCACCTTCATCACATTTGTTTGAATATGCCTTTATCAGGCCTGCGTGTGGTATTTTCTTGCCCTCTAGTTTTTAAATCAAGTTCAATGATCTTTGCTTATCTACTAAAGCCACTTTGACAACTAGTTGCACTGATGGGAATGTGCTTTTTCAGCAATGATTTTTGAAGCTTTGTAGTTATAAGTTTAATTTTTTTGACTTTTTTAGAACAGTGATAATTCATGATAATTGGTCTATAATTTTGTTGGTGGTTGCTGAGGGAACAATGACCATGACATGATTGCATTCAATTTGGGTAGAGAATACTCAATTCGTTAACAAAATTACTGGGCGCTTTAAAAAGTTAAACCCCAAGCAAAACTGATGATGGCAAATGATAGACAGAAAAACATGTGGGAAAAGAAAATTTATTTCCAGAGAGCCACCAAGCTAGAATCACAAAAGAGGAGCCCCCTCATCCTGTGTCAGTGGCATATTAAAAGCAATAATTAGCAATAAAAAAGATGTCTGTAATAAGTAGATGAAAGGGGAAATGGATAGCAATTTTCTCCACTTCATAACTAGTAATTTGCATCAGCAATGCTACAGGGCAAGCAATGCACTGAGCCATTACTCTGTAGGGGACTGCATTTGTGGGTAATGCCACCTTCTGGCTGATCTCAGCTCAACAGAAATTTACTCCCTCATCCCTGCCTAACTTGTTGAAAATCAGGCTGGGGTTTTGGGCTGGGGTGTAAGTTTGTGTGTCAGTCCCAGGTGTACATCCCTGCTCCCTGCTCCGTTTTAGGCACAGCTGGAGGAAGTTGGGGTCCTGTCTTGGGAGCTGAGGGGAGCTGTGCCCCGGGTTGCAGATTCAGGGGTGTCTCTGAGCAAAAGTCCTGGGGATGGCTGAAATATGCCAAGCTTAGTCCTCCTCTGCCCTGTGCCAGCGTCCTTGCATCAGCCTGCACTAAGGTGGGGGGGAGGGGGGAGCAAGGGGATGCTGTGCCAGTCTTCCCCGCTTGAGCACCAGGATGGGGAGAGTTGGGTCCAGTTGAAGGCCAAGTCAGAGCAGGAAAGGGGCATCTCTCCCTTTGCCTTCCACACCCAGCAACGGTTAGCAAACATCCTGAGCTGGAAGCTACTCCTGGAGTGTGATAGTCCCAGGAAACCAACCCTCCATACGCTGTCCTGTTTCCTCTATAGGAAGGAGGTCTGCCCTGCTAACCTCCATAACAGAGTCCACAAGGTAGTAACGCATGGTTTGCAAAACTTTTTCCGGTCATTTTAAACTGGATCAGGTCCTGTGGTGTTCTTGAAGCCTCTGTTCTAGGAAATGGAAAAAGTTCCTTCCTTTTTTCCCTTCTCAGTGTTAGCAGCGCTTACCAGATCCCTCACCCATGGCTCCCTCCCAGGCTGAAGGGTGTGCTTAGTCTCTCCCCTTTTGGATGCCACTCCATCTCCCTGCTCATCTTCCTCACCCTTCTCTCTCACCTACCCCATCCTTTTTGAGACGATGGTAACTGTGCATGCAAAGTATAGCAATCCCAGCAATCCCTTCCTGATGTGTTTTTTGCTTTTTTAACCAACACAGTGCTGATATTCTGAGAGAACTACCCACAGTGACTCCAGGATCTCTTTCCTAAATGATAATAGCTCATTTAGAGTCCATTGCAGCATACGGATAGAGTTATTTCTTCCCATGTACCTTGCCTTGAATTTAATTATGTTGAATTACTAACAAACAAAGAAGGTCTAGTTGGAGATCACAGAATCACAGAATCATTTAGGTTGGATGGGACCTCTGGAGATCATCTAGTCCAACCTCCCTGCTCAAGCAGGGTCCTCTAGAGCAGATTGCCCAGGATCAC